CCCGCACCCTGACAACCGGGAGGAAATGAGAGGGTATCGTTTTATATAGTTTGTAACCTAATTTTGGCCGGCTAAAAGAGCCGGGGTATTTCCACGCTTTTTAAGGAGAAGATTCGCCATTTCTCGTACTACAGAGGGCCGGGGGGCTACTCCACGAGAATCTATAGAGATTATCCATTTTTAAAGGCTTTCCTCTTTAAACTAGGTTAATTTATGGGAGTTAGCGCGAGAGTTCGCGCGATGTTAGTGGCCACGGAGGCGGTCTTGGAGAGTCGAACGTGGTACGCTAAAAATACGCGCCAGCTTACGAATTGAAGAGATTTCTTGATTCTTAAAAGCCTGGATAGCTAGTAAGATCCTACCCCCCTGCTCTATTGAATTTCGAAAGGATTGAGTACGAATTGGTGGCATAGTGGGTGGTTGAACTAACTAAGATCTAATTCATGGACGCGTTTTGGTTGGGGTGGCCAGCTCGCTTACCGAATCCGTTTCGTTAGAGGCAGATTGGTGCCTTTTTTACAAGGCGAAAAAATATGGTTACTCACGTGACAGTATTATCTGCGCGAACAATTTTTGGTAAGAATCCGGGATGATCACCACCCTATCGCACCCAATTTCTCACAGAATGGCTGCCAGAGAGCCATCCAGGTACCTAACAAGGGCCTTGCCACGTGCCTCAGTTCCATCAGTTCGTCCTCGGGGCTTTTTGTCGCGCCGCAACGTCTCCGATGAAGCCCCGGCGAGGCGTCTGTCCGACCACCTGACCGAGTTGGAATCGGCATCGTCCCTGTCAACAACTGTCCCCAACAGTGCAGCAGCATCATTCAACCCGCTTGCACGGGCAGCCGCTCGCAAGAACCAGCTTCCCCGAGGCCGGTAAGAGCCCTCCGATTACATCTCCAGTTATGCGCATCTGCAGACATGAAACCCATTGAACCCATCCAATAAACGACAACTAATCTCGACCTCTTCATTACAGATACCAATTCCGCTCCCCCAAATACAACCGTGGTCCCCTCCACCCTCACCAACCGCCACCACCATCCCACCCTTCCTCCCGGCTGTTCGTCCCAGGCCCCTTCTCGGCGCCCCGAGCAGAGCAGACCTTCGACTCAACCGTCGCCCCCGATATCATGACCCTGTGCTACGTGCACACACCACCAGGCTTCAAGCCTCCCCCGAAATCGGCCCGTCTCCGCGAGTGGGACGATAGCTCGCCCTACCATAAGAACCGAGTCCTCCGCGGACCCCGTGGCGGCGACGTTCTGCGTCTGCTCCGCAAGCCGATCAAGTTCAACAACATCCCGGAAATCGAGCGCATCACAATCCACAGCTATGTTAAGAACGCCGCGGCTGAGAGGAATTCGTCTTGGCTGCACGTCGCTGGTATTGCCATCCAGGCTATCTCCAATGTTCGTGTAGAGACTTTCAAGTCCAAGTCTAACGTTGCTCCTTGGGGTATTGCATCCGGCCGTGACTCTGTTGCTGTTAAGGCTGAGCTGTTTGGAGAGAATATGTACCACTTCCTTGGTAAGCTGGTTGACGTCGTCTTGCCCCGTATCAAGGATTGGGAGGGTGTCAAGGGATCCAGTGGTGATAGTAGTGGAAACATTACTTTCGGTCTGATTCCGGAGAATGTTGCTCTGTTCCCGGAGCTTGAGATCAACTACGACATGTAAGTGTATTCCGCGTTTCCATTGTTGTGTCAAGGCTAATCCTACTTCATAGGTATCCTCCCAAGATGATTCCTG